GTTTGTTTGTTTTCAGAGTGGTTTCCAAGCACTTAACAATGAAATACACTCAGAGACCAGAAAACTCAATAGTAGAACAAAGCTTTGGAGAACTTTTGTGCTTAGAGAACTAATCTGTTGCAACTGACTAAAAAACCACCTTTTTTTCCCCTTTGAAGAGAATTGAGCATTTGGTCAGCTATGCTTTTAAAAAAGAAGATACTCAGAATCAGTTAAACCAAGAAATATATAATAAGAAGCGCGGTCAGTAGGAGACATACCAGTTATTTTCTGGTTTTCCCTTTAAGAGGTTAAGTCTAAAGGGGCCTGGTAATGGCTTAAATGCTCCCCTTTTCTCAGGAGGTCACAGAATCTTTAACCTTCTTTACAGCTGACAAGATTTTGAAGCAAAGCTGTCCACAGATATTTTCCTAGGCACACATTATTGTCTTGGAGTACTGTTTCCTCTCTTATCTATCTGATCACCAGTAGATGCACTGTCTGCATCAAAACATCTTTAAAAGTAATTTAAAAGTCCATGGTGGGTATTGAGCTGTTTTAACTATCAGCCATCAACTGTTGGCTTCAATGAATAGGAGTGTGAATCTAATTGTTCCTTTGTTACCTTACCTGCATAAAAGGGAATTTAAAATTTCTTCTTTCTGACCTCAGGCACAAGGGTAGTTCCATAAAGCTCTGTGCAGAAGTCATGACATCCCCATGTACTATAGCTTCCAACAGTTATTATGGAATCCTGTTTTTAGTAGATTCTCTCAAGTATGAGCAGTTATATACTGAAGACTGTCAAGCCTTTTCTGTCAGTATGGCATGAATTTGCATGTGAATACTTTTTGCAGACACACGTGGTGTTGTTCCTTAGCATAGGTTTTATGGGAGGCTCTTTCCTTATTTGAAAATTTCAAAAGTGAAAGACCATTTCAGGCAAGGCCATTGAGATGAATTTGCTGTGCAGATACACTCACGCTAAGTCAGGACGTTTGCAGTCCAATTGAGGATGAGATTGGAGTCTGAAGTACTTTTTCTTTTATTCATTCATTCACGGCTAGGCTTTGCAAACAAAGATTTGGGAAGGCTCTATCCACATTTATTACAGGCACACTGGTGGCTTATGAGGCCAATACGAGACAGACATATCTGATTGCAAAAGGCACAGCAGAAAGACTCCTTAGATGGTATCTTCTGCAAGACACGGTTCTTTCTGCATTGTCTTTTCTCCTCAAGGGTGATCCTGCGTGCGTTCTCAAAAGCATCGGCAGCGTTATAGATGGTGTGTCTCCAGGCCTCCCGATTGGAGGCCAGAGTAGACCAGTTATGTTGATCAATATGGCCAAGGCTGAGATGTTGTTTCAGGGAGTCCTTGTATCTTTTCTTCAGGGCTCTTCTCTTGCGGCAGCCAGTGGCAAGTTCACCATAAAGCAAGATCTTAGGGAGGCGGTGGTCCTTCATCCTGGAGAGACGTGCCCTGCCCAACGCAGCTGTGTTCTCAGCAACATGGCCTCAATACTTGTGACTGCTAGTCTGAAGTACTAAATAAACAACTATGTGGCAGCTTTATACAGTATCCCAGGCTGGATCACACACTGAAATCAAGTCAACAAGGTCTGAATGTTGGGAGAAAGCAAACATGGCATGAACTGTGTAAACACATACTACACATAGGTTTGCCATAGAAAAGTTCCTTCATTGTGCTTGATAATGCTCAGGCCTCGGGGCAGAGATATTTCAAGGCTGTGGATACAGCAGGTTTGATTCACAGGGGAATATTTGTTCTAGGAATGATCAGAAATATAGAAACTGAGACTGGGAAATGGTAAAAAAAAATAAATAAAAAAATAAAAAAAAATTGGAGTTTTTAAGGGAGATATTAGAGATCTGATATCAGTCATCTATTCTATAAGACGTTTCTGCAAGGCAGAGGTTAAACTGTTCTTTGCTGGAGATAAGACAAAGTAATGTGCTTAAAATGGAGCAAGAGATAGTTGTGGAGCACATTTGGAACACTGATGATAGTGCCAGTAAAGTGACACGAATATGTTGCCCAAGGAAATTAGATTGTTATGGGATGTGCTGTTGCTGGTATTATTTAAGATGAACAACTGTTAAAGGTGGTTTAGTTGCAATTTAGTCTGGTGGAGACAATTGGCTAACCCCCTTGGTACCATTTTTTAAAAATAAAGACTTGCAGTGTAAAGACATTTGTGCTTAGTAGTAACTGCTCCTGTTGAGCTCCAGCCAGCCACGGTCAAGATTTTGCCTTCCTCTGACAATGTTGAGCTCTCTTGTCCTAAATAACATCCTAAGAGTACATCTGCCTAGAGGATAATATACTTCTCATGTCTTTTAGGCTAAGGAAAAACCTCCATGCCTTGTTTGATTTAGACTTGAACTGATGGGAGGCAGCTTTCATTCAAAGAAAGTGAACTTCCTATTTTTAATGTAACTCAATTATTTTGTAACTTTATAATTAAAACAAGCCTATAAATGGGGATCTTTTTTCCTGACTAATGGCATTTAATTATGTGACACGAGGCTTTTATTTGCCGACTTTTCAACAAGTTATAAAATGTTTGTAAGAAAACAAGAGCCAGGGAGTCTACACTTCTTACGAAAGACTGTGGTTTACAAGACACTCATCATGCCCTGCATAAGAGTGCATAGGTTCCCTTCTGTGCCTGACTCTGAAACAGAAATTAAAACTACGCTTGAGTTAGGAGAACTTGGTGTGACTCAGATATCTTGTAATGCACTGCTGTGAGGTACTCTTAAAACTTCTGCAGTAGGAGGACCACTCCATGTATTGAAGGAGGTGCGAAAAACCAGAAGATTTTCTTAAAACACACACACACATAGTTGCTGAATGAACAGGTTTTGCATAAACCTACAAGGTTAATGTGTTTAGAGGGTTGAGATTAATGCTACAGGCTTGGGATTCAGTTAGCATCACAGAGCAATTTTTTCTCCTTCAAGTAGCATACGTGCTTTCCTTTTTTTATCCTTTCCTTGACTGCCAGAAGGCCAGCTGATAGAGGATTGTCAGGTGATTGTGATATAGAACTTTAAATTTTAATTTTAGACTTTTCTGGAAACCAGAAATGGTCTTTGAAGAAGTCCTCAGAAACATAAAATTTACATTTGTATCACAAATAGAAATTAGTCCTTTTATTCATGTAACTCCCAGGTCTGTCTGAGAGGTCTTCAAATTTTTTATGAAGTTATTGCTTTATGAGCAAGGTTCAAACCTGGAGGTAACATCCCATTTTCTCATTAATAACATGGACAAATACATGAAGACCCTGAGATACACCAAAATATGGTAGGGGACTTCAGGCAAAGAGATTATTATATTTTATGTGCTGGTGGATTCTTGATTCATCTTTGCCTGGACATAGATTTGTCAACCTCTGCTCTTGTTTTGGCTTTTAACAAGTTTCACAGCATGGATATTACAGATTACAAATATATAAAAGAAGAACTGAGTGCATCTAGGGGAAGTATAGCTTACATTAGTGTGTTTTTAGTCAGGTTTTCAGGTGGTTTGAGGACATGGTGAAATTAAAATAATTTTTAAGTGTTTTTCTTCCCTCCAGACATAACAGTGGTCTTTACCATGTCTCATCTCTTGTGTACCTGGGACTTGCCTTCAGCCTGGTTATTGCAGACCAAGAGAAAGAAGGGAAGTGGCCCCTTGTGAGCAGCTCTGGGTTGTTTGGCATAGTTCTGATATGTTTCTCCTCTCACAGTGCCAATTGGTGAGGGACAGAAGAACATTTCAGGCATCCCCAGCTGTCCCCTGCAGGAGGATTCCTTTAAAAAATTAATTTAAAATATATGGTTTTACTGCAGGGATGAGGAAGCATACTCCTGGTAGCACAGGGGACTTCAGTGAATAGAGCTTTCTTTCAAAATTTCATAGGCTTTTAGGCAAAGTCTGTTATTTTGACAATGATGTACATCTAGCTTTGGAAGAGATTTCAGAGACAACATCAGGACCCTTGGAGCCTGGACAAAATGGGAACAAAACTGCTCTCCAGGACAGGCAGGCTTGACCATGTTCTAACATGAAAATGGCCCAGCTCCTGCTGTTGGTTGCTGAGAGAAGGCCTCTTGTTACGTGGGAGTTGTGGTCTCTGAAAGGGTGCTCAAGTCTTCAGAGATTTCAGGTAGCAGGTAAATGATGCACCAGGAATTGGCTAAGCTTTAGGATAAGCTTTCCTGCAGTTTTTCTTTTTGAGAACATAAACTGATGGTTGTTGATATGTGGGTGGAACTAAAAGTGTTCCCCGGGTCCCACTGAAGAGTTGAACTTCTCTTTATAAAACATGAAACCCCTTTTTCTTCAAAGAGCACATTAAATATAATATTCTAGATAATTTTTTACCTTGAGGTGTCAGTTATAGTAACAAGTATCTCTTGATAAACAAATGGCTCATATTTTTTTTTCCATTATTTTTCCTCCAGGCATTATTATTTAACACTGGATCGAACCAGTGATCCTGGGTGATCAGATCTGGTTCTGCAATGTCTCGGGCATCCCATAGGTTTGAATAGTAGCAATATGAAAAATGAGAAGAGGAAAGAAGAAAACAGATGGTCTATCCTGTCCCCTTAAATGCATAAATGAAGCAGGGGATGTTTCCATTCATGGTGTACAAGATCCTTTGTGAATGTGACATTTCATCTAAGTTGAAGAGGCTTGTTCCAGGGGGTGCCATGTCTGTTCTGTTCTGATATCAGATGGTCCTGAATGATGCCTGTGGACCATTGAGTTTTACATGTCTATGATTCTTGAGGTTGTGTTTGAAATGTCTTACTGAAAATGTACGCATCAAGGAGTTGTTGGGATAGAGAAAAGGTTTGCATGACAGACAAAGGAAAAGGAGTTGCTACGCCTGGGAACAGTACTGAAGAAGAAAAGTAGATGGAACAAAATGTGGCATTTGTGGAGTACCAGCTCTACAATTTATACGGAGTTTTTTTATTATTTTTGTGTTTAATTTTAGAACTGACCAGCTTGTTGGAAGATGATGTTTATTCCTGCTTAAAGCTGCTGTTCTGAAAATAAACAGTAGAAGAATGTGGAAGAATTCAAGCCTCCGCTGCCTTTTAGCACTAGCTATTTTATGCCTAAGAAGCTTAGTATATAGCCAAGAGATAGGTGAGTTCATGGCAGTGTAATTCACTAATTACTTTTTTTTTGGAGCTTCTGTACTGATGCCTTGTAATTACATTGCTTTCCTACTAAATGTATATTCAGAAACTGTCACCTCTGTGGCCCCACACCATGGGGAAATAATACCAGGCCTGGTCTCTTCTTTCCAGCACCCATCAGCATCTTGTAAACCAGTGCAAAACTGGGTGTTAAATTCTCCATAACGCAACTGATAGTCTGCATATGCAGTTGATGTAAATGCCTGCATTGAAACCTTCTTGCTGTATACACCGGCTGTCTTCAATAATTTCACATGTTATCATTAACTGCCCTTCTGTCATTAATTGCCTTCCATGTGTAACAGTGGAGAAGAGCAAAAAACTCATTAAATTTATCATCAAAGATTGAGGTTTTGCCATTGGCCCAAAGCCTGCTTATTAGACTAGGCAAGGAATGGATATTGTGGAAGGAGACAGCTGCCTGTGTTATGCACAGGAGTACAAGCCCAGATCTTAGGTAATTCTAGAAAGCTGAGAGTCTGTGGCTTTCTAATCAGACACACAAATCGTTCAACAGTTTTTGAATACTGACCAGACAGGCATGCAATAAAACTGTAAAAAGAAAGGCTACAGATGTGAACAATTGCAGTAGTTTTACAGTTGCTCACTTTTGACCTGCAGTTTTGAGACTGTATTTCTTCTGTGATTTCAGGTTCTCTGGGGCACCCCCAGAATTTGAAATGTGTAACGCACAATTTACACGAAATGATCTGTACTTGGGATGTGTCTCCTAGAAGAAAACATGGACAAACTGACTTTTGCTATGCTGCCAAGTAAGTCCCACATATACCTGGTTGAAAAATAGCAAATTGTGATGAAAGTACAGTTTTTCCTTAGTCACTGCCCATGGAATTTGTGATGCTGTTTTTTCCCAGCATCTCCCCATCACTTTTCCTTGGGTGGTGCTCCCTCCAGGCCCTGTTAACTCAGGCAATGGCAGGGTTTCTGGCAAAGTTATTCCACGCTAACAATTTGCCTGCCAAAATCTGCTGCTCTTTTCAAAGGACTGGAAGATGCTCTTATTTACTCAGACTTCTCTGTGTGTCTGCCTATCCCTTGCTTAGAGTTTTCACGAGGGATATCTTCAAAACAGGTTCAGTCCAAAAGGAAATGAGAGTTGGAAGCAGCAAATCCTGATGTTATGGGCCAAAGCGGTAGAATATATGACATAAGTGTTGAGATTCACCTGCGGAAAAACAAGAAAAATCTCTTGGTGGCTGCCTTACAATCTTTATAAATTTTAAACTGTCTGAAGAGCATTGCATTAGAGGAAATGTGCAAATTATTTCATAATTAAAATGGCTTTTGTGAAGTGAATGAGAGTGGAGAATTTTGAGAAAAGTTAAAAAACACCTTAAATCTTCTGTGTTTTTTTCACTAATGAGAACTACATGTTCAAATCCCCATGCAGCGGGTCTGCCAAATACTTATGTGCTAGGGATGAGTTCAAATCCATTCTGCATCTTGATCCTGCCCCTAGTCCAGATATTTATACAGTCTTTTTTCCTGTAAATTCTTCAGGCAGCCCAGACTTTTCCTTGGGGTCCCGGGGCTTGGCTGCACTTAGTCCACCTACATGCTTGATTCTCTGCCTCTCATTATTCCTGCTGCATTGCCAGCTATCATTTCTATTTTTAAAAAAATAATCCATATATGTGACATTGTGGCCAGAGTTCAGGAGTGGAGAGTTCAGGAGGTACTGCCCTCTAAACAGGAACAATCATGTAGCTGCTGCTGTTTCTCCTTAGCAAAGCGGAACAGGCTGGGGGCCCTGAAGCAAAGAGGATGAGAGCTGAGCTTAGTGCAAACATCCCTGAGGGAAAGAGGTTTTGTTTTTCGGTTGCCCAAACATCCTCTAATAATATCTCAGTACAGAAGAGGAATAGTCTTTCTGAGCACTCAAGTCTCAGCTGGCCTTCGCTAGCCCAGAGTCTTGCGTGAATCTTAAAGAGTTCAGCCCAAGCTCTTGACTCCAGCTGGTGGGAGCTCTGGGGTCCCGTTCCAGTTCATGAGTGAGTAACAGTCCCTCAGCAGGAAGTCTGGCATTGTTCTCTCTGCTTTCCTTCCTCCCATCATTGCCCCAAGAGGAAGGTCTGGATTTTTCCAAACTTTCTGCCTTTCTAGTTGCATATCAGTGATAATGAGCAAAGGGACTTGACCCATCCATATTATTGTTTCCTCTATATATCTGCATCCCCAAGACAAAAGCCAGATCACATCGTGCTGAGCACTGCACAAACATTAAGCACAAGTTGTATTTTCACCTGAGATCTTAGCAGTCCTCTCCCCTGCCCTCTGCTCTTTCCTCATGAGCTGAGCAGCAGAAGGGAGCTAAAAAATTTGTTCTAAGATGCAGACACAGGTGGTAAATCTGCTCCCATATGCCATTACTTTGAGAAGAAATGAAGGGAGAGGAAGTCAGGAAACATAAATGGTGGGGGAGATACTGTTAGGTTTGGGCTTTTGTTGGTTTTTTGGGGGGGTTCTTTGTTTATAATATTTTTTAATATTTTTATTTTATTTTGCTTATTTTTAAATATTGATTCATGATGACTGTAGGTTTCAAAAATGTATCTTTTGCTGGCCTCAAGTTGTGCCAGAGGAGATTTAGATTAGATATTAGGAAATTTTTTTCACAGAAAGGTTTGTAAAACATTGGAACAGACTATCCAGGGAAGTAAGGGAAGTCACGAGCCCTAGAAGTGTTCAAAAAACCTGTGGATATAGCTTAGTGGACATGGTTTAGTGGTGCTGGTGCTAGGTTGACAGTTGCATTTGTGTTGAATAATCTTAAAGGTCTTTTCCAAACTTAACAATTCTGTGATTTTCAATAAAAGATCGGGTTTTCACTTTGAACTGTTCTCTTAACAACTGGTAGTTGCATTATGCAGCTAGTGCACAGCCTATGGCTACAATGAAGGTGACTTGAAAGATGAGGAAATTCCTGTTAATCTGATACTAACCAAAGCCCATGCAAGTCTCACTCCTTCACAAACTTGATATGGAGCTCTCTGTTTATTAGAGGGAATTTGTGTTTTATTAGTGTCCAAGAATAGGACTTAACTTGCCTTAGCTGCCTATCAGCTGAAATAACTGCTTAATCCTCTCTGTCTTTTCAGTGACCTCCCCACTCCGGTGTGTTTTAAAACTAAGGAGAAAAGGGTTGAGATTCCAGTCCCACACAGCTCCAGCACAGTGACAATAACTACAAACAGCATCTCTGGAACTGCTTTGGCTACCAAAGAATTTAAAATTCACAAGAAAGATATCTGTAAGTATCAGGTTTTATGTGTGTATACAAAGCCTTTATACTGTGTTTAACAATTCTCCAGATGTGTATATGCTTGCAGTTTTCTTTGACGGTATTCCTGTAGGTAAAATGTTGATATGCTGAGTCCATATGAAGTTACCGTGCATCATAGGGTTTTTTTCTCTAATCCTTCAGAGGAAAGAAAACTCCTCTTACCCATAGCTCATAGTAGAGAAATCAAGGGCAGAATGTGACAAGGAAAGCAAAATACAACACTGTTACATCCCCAACTCTTTGCCCTTTTTTATCTTAGTTATGAGTTAGGAAGGATTTGTAAACAAATTCCTAATCTACATACTGAGGTACCTGCATGGGTTTTAAAGTGCTTTTGGTCAGACTTGGCTTGGGAAAGGCAGAATAAACTTCCTAGTGTCCCTTCTGTTTTGGATGCTACAGAATGAAGTAGCTTACTCCTGCAATTTCAGAATACTTCAAGGGAAATTATATCATATGTCACTCCTGACAGGATCATATTGTCCTAATATATGCCCAACTTACCCGTTCTGTTCAGCTGTATATGAAACTGAGAAAATACGTTTATTCTTGGGAGATAGACTGCTTCATGTTGGAGTCATAAATAAGTCAGACTTTTTCCCACTTCTTTCCATACAAAGGAGGAAGTTGTAAACTGAAGATGGCACTGCCACCATCTTCCATGCTTGCTCTAGGCTTCAATTTTGGTTTGATTCCTTAGTCCTTTAGTGTAGTCAGATTCTAATGTCAGTAATATTCCTTATCCATGCTTCTGTTTACAGTTGAGAGCAGCTCAAGAACTTTAACAAAATGCAACTCACAAATATTTGGGCAACACACTGGGTTCTCCAGGATGTTGCTGACTCCAGGCAGGATGAGTCTCTCAGGTTCATCACAGGTTATCGTAGGCAGTGTTGAACTGTGCTGAACACTTTGCAGCTCTCAGATCCGTATTCAGGACTGAATTGGATGTATCACACATTTTAAAAATATGTTTTGTCTTGCAGCAGGCCAAATGAACTGCCATAACCCTTGTGTTACCATAATTCTTCCCTGCTTCTCAGTCTCTTGCTTCATCACTGCCCATTTGTAGAAGAGGTCTTCTGTTTAATCTCCCTGTCCTGTCCACATTATGATGTCATCCCTTTAGTATTTCTTCTAGCTTAACATCACTTTCCCCATGATCTTCTTCAGGCCCTCATGTGAGCTTCTTCCGTCCTCTGCTTCTGCTCTCCTTTCTCCCTGCTATCATTTCTGTTGCAAATCCCCACTTCCTTACTGGTATCCAAAACTTACTTCTTTTGGGGATGGTTTTCCATCATCTTCCCTAGAAGTGTTCTTATGCATGCTTCAAAGACTGTCACCATGTTTCCTTTGCCTCTGCAGTATTGAATGAAGGTTGTAAAAGACAGGATACCTTTCTTCCTTAATATGCATTATGAAGAGTCATATTCATGACCAGTTACTCGCATATCTGCATGCTGAGATATCCAAAGAAAATGCTACCTAGTGATTCATCAGCACCTGTGCTTTCCTGAGAACTTTCATGCTCAAGTAATGACAGAGCCTATCTCATTCTAATTACAGAGATTGAGTTACATGTTTATATGGCTACTAGCCAGTTCAGAGCAGAGAGATGTGGCTGTTGAACACCTGTAGGGCTGGTGTTGCTGACTAATGACTTGAGTATGGGTTTTTTTCTCCCTCTCTTTTTCAAGTGTTTATTCCTGTTGCTCCACGCATTCTTAGTTTAACGCCTGATTTTTCAACTTCCACATTAAATCTGAAGTGGAGTGATAATGGATCGGTCTTCCCAGATGGACTGGATGCTGTTTGGCAGATTCAGATACTCCGAAAAGAAACAATGGAAAAAGTCACACAAGTAAGTCCTTTTCTTCCCTTATGAAAAATACATATGCAATTTTTGCCCTTGGTAATATTCTGAGGTCATTTGAAGAAAGCTGAGAATGATGAAGATTGTAGAGCTTTGTAGAACCTTCTAGTCATGCTTCTAGTATGTAATTTCTTTTTAAGTTTCAAAGTTATGAGAAGACTGGCTACTATACTGTCAGTACTGAGTCACACCATTTTATTTTTTTTAATCTAGTACAGGGATTTTTTAATTAGAACTTGCTTGTAAATTTGGCAGATATTTTACACCATTGTCTCTACTTCTCCAACAGTATGTCAAGTCTTGGTCTCTGAATGCTCAGCTTGCTTTTTTCTTTTTTTTGTAACCACAGTTCTTCCAAGCCAATTTGTAGCTCTGTTCTAAGCATTTCAGTAATGGAGAAAAGACAAAATGTGCAGCCTGGGACATTTTAGAAAATTTGGAACATTTCACTGTCTGGGAGTGGCCCAGGATACTGGGATGAAGTATATACCTATTTAAATGCTTGGTGAGCTTCCTGCTCTCTCTCAAATGTCTGCCCTCTGGTATTTCTTACAGACACTCTACCTGGCTGGTGGGCTCTTTAGTAAGTTAGGCTAAATTCACTGTGCAACTGAAAGTTAGGTGGGACACTCCAATAATCTCTCAGGATATTATGCTTTAATTCATTTAATTTGCCATTCTGTTGACACCTGGGAGATTATAAGTCATTATGAGCAGGTGTTTATAAGCTCTATCTTTGTTATTTTTTTGCGTGTGAAAACTCTGCAGGTTACTTACCACTCAAAACTGACTCACGAAGACATCATTCTTTCTTGGAACTGGACATCAGATATGCCTTTGGAGTGCACATCGCACTATGTGAAGATTCGCTGTTATATTAATGTAACACAGTTTGTTGGCCTCAAGGAGTGGAGCGACTGGAGCCCAGTAAAAGTGATCCTTGGTATGTTTGTTCCCTTGCCACCGCAGGGACTTTGATTTCTTTGTAAGAAGTGAGCCAAAATCAGAGAAAAAGCATTAGGCATTAATGGGCTGCTGGCTTTGAGGATGTTTTGATTGGAGAAGTAATGCAATCACTAGTTAATGAAACCTAGTAAACATTTATTTGTATGCATTGGAGTGCTCCTCAGTCACATTTTAGCTGATCAGCACCATATTTATAGCAAATTGTTCATGTGGGATTTTTGTTTGTTTGTTTTCTTCTTTCTCTACTAGGAAAAGATACCGATCCCAGTGAGAATGGAGTGTTTCCTCTGGATACTGTGGTGGCAGTAGGTTCAGATGTGACATTTTGTTGTATCCATGAAGAAGGTCAGAACATAACAAATATGAGTTATGGATCAAAGCCCTACCCAATGATACAGCTGAGCAGTCGGAGCCATGCAATCAGAGTACTAAATGCCAGTGCCTCGGATTCCAGTGGAACAAACGTTGTGTGCAGACTCAACAATGGAATGATGGAGGGAACTGTCCTGTTTGTAGGATGTAGGTATCATTATGTTTACTAACCTCGGGAAAATCAAAATCATTTTAAGACTCTTAGAGTTCTGCTAGGAAACAAATACTACTGTGGCTTTCCTCCCCCTCCTCTCCCACCTTTGGTTTTGAGCATGAACTGGGATTGTAGTTGTTTTACTGCGGAAACCCCAGCTCATGGAGAAGACACCAAGTTTGGGAGGATGAGAAGGTACCCATATAAGCCCTCTTCTTTTAGAACCTGGCCCAGTTCTTCTTTCGTTGATCTCTTTTTCATGATCTGGAATACTCAGTAGTTTATTGCCATATGAATATTCATCCCCGGTCTATATCACTCTAGGTTTACATCTGTTCTGGTTTAGTCCATGGCAAGGTGAGAGTAAGAGAAAGAATTGTAAATGCAAACATTTGTTTAGCAATCAGTCAAATGAAGACAATAAAACAGTTAGACTTGCAACAAAACATGCTCATCCAGGGCAGAAGCTCCTTGGGAGCTAATTACAGCAGAGGAAACCAGCCGACAATTCCTTTTTCCTGGACACCCTTCTAAAACACCCTTTCAGTATTTTCTTTAAAGGTACTGAATCACTGTGCATCTTCTCTGCCAGGATCAGAAATCTGTTCCAGAAACACATACCTGTTAAAACAAATGACTGAAAGTACCTCGTGGTTTTTTTCTCATAATTGGTCATTTTAGAGCTTTGTGTGTTTTCCCCACATGGATTTTGAGAGTTATAATCTTCCGATAGCTGTTCATTATAATCCCATTCCCCATTACAAATGCCTGCCTTGAAACTTAGAATCCTTGGGGTTGAGGAAAGGGATAGGAGAAACTGGACTCATTTTGAAAGTGTGCTCCCATCTCCAAGCTGTGCTCTCATTGACTTTGTCTATTAAGTTTGTGGTAGCAAATGCAAAACAGAATTCAGCCTTTGATGTTTTCTCAGTGATATGTCATTTTTACATTAATTGCACTGTATTTACTTTTGTGGGAGAATCATCCAGGTAATTAAGTCAGTGATTCAAGAAAGAATGCCCTGACAATCCCATAGGTTTCTCCTATGCAGTGGTTTTTAAAGAGATGGGATTCCAAGTCTTGTTTCTTGTCAGTATTTCTTCTAGTGGTGTCTACAGGGAGAGGACTTGTGATGGTCCTCTTGCTGATGAGAGACATTTGGGGAAGAAAAGGTAGAGGAAGGAAACATAATGCCTTGGTTAAGCCTAGGTCTGTGTTCCTTTTTGGCCCGCTGCTCATAATCGGAACTAAACCTGCCACTGTTGCCTCTTGTGTTAGTGCCCCTTCTCTAGGGCAGCTATGTGGATATTATTGTGCTACCTTTGGCACACCTTTCCAGTCTCATACATCTCAAGTGTATGAGACCTGAAACAAGTGCTCTACTTACTCTCAAGTTAGCATGGTTGCCCTCTCTGTTGGGAACACTGCCCATCTTTTCCAGGAAGGCACTCAACACTGCCCTAATAGGTCAGCAAAAAACAAGATTTAAAAGAAAAAGATTGGCACTTCCAAAGCCATGGGAAAGGGGATGAGCCATTCAGGCCTTGCTTTAACTTTCAGATTCAGTGTGGAATTCCTGCCAAAGGGACCATCTCCTTGACGTGACTTGTCTGGAGAATTCAAAACAGTGTTGGGGCTGGCATGTTAGAAAATGTGACGCACAGCCGACAGCTTTCCTGCATTGCTCAGCGGCTAAACTGATGCTAAGAATTTCAGAAAGGTCTTGGCAGAGTTTCAGTGAAACACTTCCAGGTCAGAGCCTGGAGCTTGTGAACATGTTTGCATGTGATTTACCAGGTTACCCACCCACTTAGAATCCTCGCGTCAAGTGTTAGTCAGATGGGGCTGATAATAATTATCCATCTGTTTTATTGTGACTTTTTAAAGGCATATTTGTATGGTTGGAGTGTAACTGTTGCCATGTATTTGTGAAGCACGCAATCCAGACCCAGAAAAACCAAATGGTGATGTTTTCAGGAAGCCAGCGACCCAAATGTCACACTAGAATGGCAGAACATCAGCTAACTCTTCTGGTTTCCTTTCATGCTACAGATGCTCCTGATATTCCCCAAAACCTGAGCTGTGAAACACCCAATTTCCAGATAATAAAATGCACCTGGAAACCAGGCAGACCCAGTGGACTGTATGGAAAACGAAGAACAAAGTACAGTTTATTTGAAAGGTAAAATTAATCAGCACTAAAAGGAGTAAAAGGGTACAACTGGAATACTTCCATTGCTGCCTGTGACTTACTGCTCCATGCCTATTTAAATGCGATAGTTTTCATTGTTTAGAGCCTAAAATGCTTTCCAGGAGTTTCTGGAAGTTGTAACTAAACTTGGAAAACCCTTGTCTAGCCCTGCAAAATTCCAGTGGAAATTAAGGATGACTTTTCCCAGAGGTTTATGCCATTATGAACTCACAAGTAAACAAAGGGCATAGAGTATGAGGCTGCTGCCAACATACAGATAAGACCAATATGAAAATATAGGTAGATAATAAGTCAATCACTAATTTTTAATTTATTTTTTTTTAATATGAAACCTGGGTCAGATTGTCTGTCAGACGTTTACTGAACTTCTGCTAGGCAAGATGGCAAGAAACCCACTGAGAAAGAATTATAAAACAGGTCATGGTGCATTTCATATGCCACTAGGAAAAACAGCAATGAGCCTACAGCCATTCTCCTCTCAGCATTAAGGATTAGATAGTGTCGAGCAGGCAAAGTATACGTATTAACTGTATAATGTTGAAAGGGAAGAAAGCACTGATGTCATCCATGGAAAGTAGTTGAGTGATGTCCCACCACATTGTCTAACGGAGTAGGCCATGTAAAGCCTTAAAAGTGAGGAATCATTGGTTGGAATAGCACTTGCAGTTGGGATTCCTTGGTAGTTGTGATTAGAAGTTAGTGAGGAGTTAACAAAATTCACATGGCGAGGAGGCTCCCATGTAATGCCAAAGGAGCAGTCAGGGAAAAGAGCCAGGAGAGGCCTGAGTCACACAAACTGATGAGAAATGGAGTCTTGTGGTGGCTTTGAAGCAAGTCGGAGCCCATGAGGATTGAGTTACTGCCATAGATATCACCCAGGGTGCTAATACTAAAGAAGTCATTGGGTAGGGTGCAAAAAGGTGGACAAAAGAGAGCAGGTATTCAAAGGAAAGGAGCTCCAGTCACTCGCTGCTGATATTCAGCTTATAAACAAGGATGTTGTCCAGTCTTGTTATGTTCAGCCCAAAGCTGTGAGATTGATGTGATGCATTTCAGGGTAAATATTCTCATTCTTGTTCTCAGCCCACACTGAACTATTGAAATAGAGAGTATGATGTGGAGAGAGCTCAGAGCTAAGCTAGAACACAATAAAAATGCCTGAAGGAAGAAGTTAATTAAATTTGTGCTACTGAATGAGAGGCTTACAGAGATTGTAATTGAAGCAAATATACATACATATATACAGATACACACTCTAGATTTTACCCCCAGAGATGTACCACTTGTGTTGGCTGTTACCAGACACAATCCTGCTGTTGATTAAAAAATAACTGGGAATAACGGATGTATTCCAGGTAACAAACTTTAGTTCAGATTTGACAGGGCTTTTAGAAGGACAATATGTGTAGCATCTTACTAGTTCAGAAAGCAATTAAAAGAATTCTTTAAATGTAAATGTATGCTGATCTGAACAAAGATACTTCAAGTCAGAATCTTAGTCGTAACTTGTGAGGTGGTTTTACAGGACCTACCTGTTTTCAAGGCTTTTGAGAAGTGAGTGAATGGAAATGTTATGCTAGTAGAAGAGGAGAGTTTCACGTGAGAACAGGGCAAGTCATGACTGTTCCCACTTTAACCTGCGTTGCGGTGTTAGATATGTCTCTGCAATCAAATCATTCTGTAAGCTGTGTGAACTGAGCCCATCATTCTGTACCGTGTTTTCAGTCTAGAGTTCTAACTGTTGCTAGAAATTAACTTATTCAAAAATTAACCTTTTCCCTCTCCTTTTTTACTTTTTAGGACATCTGGTAAAAATGTTTCATGCGAAGTCAATGAAATGAACAGACAGCATGTCTGTGGCTTTCCAGTACTGCCTGATCAAAAAACCTATGATTTCATATTAGGTGTCTCCAATCCTATTGGGCAAGCAGAGTCATCTCTTTTGGTTGATATAACTCAAAGAGGTAATAGTAATGACTTAAAAAGGCAAAAAGATGTGTTTACTACATGCTAACCATTTGTTTGTTTGGTGTTTGAAGAACTCTGACATGGTATACTTTTCATTATTTTGCTTTATTGTCACCAGCTTTTTGCTGTATTTAATAATTTGAACTTGAAAATAACTCAGGACATGTTTTGAGGCAGTGATGTGTACAGGGAGATGACAGTTTTCAATAGAAATGCTACCAGATTGTACACACTGCTAGTGTTGATATAAATGCTACTGGTGACCTAATAATTAGCTAGCTGCTGTTTATTGGGAATCATAGAATGGCTGGGGTTGGAAGGGACCTTAAAAATCATTTAGTTCCAGCACACCACACACACTCCTCACACCCCACTTCCTGCCATATCCCACCTATTAGATTAGGTTGCCCAGAGCCCCATCCAACCTGGCCTTGAACACTTCCAGGGATGGGGCCTTCACAGCTTCTCTGGGCAAGTTTATGTATTGCTTCATATTTTATTACACATCAGTAATTTAAATTTAGGTGTAACTCTATGAAATGTGGATGACCTTGTATTTCAGTCTCTGTTTATAGAGCAAAATACCATACAGTTTTGCAGCATCGGGGTTTGGAGCATGAAAAAAGTAGCACAAACAGATAAAAGGTAATATCGGGACTATCACACGCTGTTGGTAATAGCCATGATCATCTGCTGTCATAGTTTGGAGAAAGAAATAACTTCTTTCATTAGACTTTCAGTTTAAACAAGGAAAGGGAGATGACCACCTTTTTAGCACTGTCTTCCTCACCCTTTTCCTTCTGTCTCCTCAACCACAGCTGAGATTTCAGACGTTCCTATTGGTTACAGTATTCTGCCATCCCCCAAAAAACTGAATTTAAACATGAAGATGGTGCATTTTTTTTTAATCCAGGTCCCAGATCAACTGTCTTAAGATTAGAATTCTCAGAGTACTTTTTTGATAAGGTCAGTAAGGGGGAAAATATTTATCTGTGTCTCCAAGTTTTTATCTCATGTCTGGTACACTCAGTCTTAAGTAAATCTATTTCGATGTTTGATAGCTGAGAACAGTGTCAGGAATGAGACTGCTCGCAGGTGCCTTTCAGCACCAGTTTTCCCAGTTGCTGATTGGATCACTTATCCTTCTGATTCTCTTTGATCTTTTAAAATCAGATTTTTCTGAACTGAAATGAATATGGTTTTTTGACTTAGAACTGAAGGTATTTTCTTTATTTTTTTAGTTCATCCAAAAACCCCAGAGAAGTTGACTGTTTCTGAAAACAACTCTACAAGCATTCATCTGCGTTGGTTTATAAATGGCAGCTTTGCTGAGATCAGGCTTCTGTGTCAAATTGAAATTAGCAGTGGTCACTCTGAGCAAAAACTAGTAAGTGTTGTTTTTAAGGAATTATTTTTTGGCACAGATGTCAGTCTTTTTCACTGAACTAATCACATTTCAAATTCTTTTCTCATGCTAAGAGCTTCATTCTGATAATCTTATTAAATGATTAATGTAGTAATGAGTAGAAGTTCCTTTACTAAAATCAGAAAACTTCCTGTTCATCTCTGTTGTTGCCTGGTTTCTCTTTCTTTTTCTTTCTTTCTTTTTTTTTTTTTTTTTTTTTTTTTTTAGGGTTTTTTTGTTTGTTTTTTGTTTTCTTTTAAACCGTTTAGAGCAAAGTCAAATTACACACCATGTTATTTGGTACTTGGAGACTGTGCATAGTGCTTTATGCTAATTCTTTAGGTAACAGTCCTTGTGCTTTGTCCTTCTAGGTGCAAACTTAACATTAACTATTAATACACAGCTGTTCCAGGATGCGCTGCTGCCTTGAAGACTTCCGTGGTGGTTGTTTCAGATCTTGTAGTCTGCAGTTGAATTTCTCTTTTCTTTTCTTTCCCCTCGGAGAATAGTTCATTTGTTTGCTGTCAGCAGTTGACATGCATGTGGCCATAACAGGCAGCTGCTAAACCTGCTTGTATGTCGGTGGTGTAGAGACAGGATAGGGAAGGATTTTCCCACTGGGTGTATCAGTAGGTAATCTCCCAGTGAGGAGAGAAGGTGGTATTTGTGGGCTGGGTTCAGATTTTCAGCCGTTCAGGCTCCCAGCTGCTGCCCAGCGTGGTGCTCTGTGTCACTGACTGGAGCTGCATATTTACTCTGCTGACTGTCAGAGGAGCTTAGGATACTAATTTAGACACCAGCATCAGACACTGACTGTAGGTGGTGGGAATATATCCTCTTCTTAACTGCTTAACTTAGTGTGGTGTGACCTGTGTCACTGGGGAAGCCTAATGACAGCTGCATGTTCAGTTGGCTTGAGATTTACCCCCAATTTCTTTGTGCATTCAGATCTCTGAGCATTTTGGGTAGGCACATGCTGAATTGTCAGGTCTTGCTGCACCGAGTCTGAATTTGTAATTTTAGCACATTAACCTCAGAGGCTGTTTTTTACAGTGCTTGTTTGATTTTTAGCAGTATTCTATTACCCTCTGCATTTAGTTGCTAGTTGGGCACAGTGGTTGGGCACAGCCTTGAATAACTTAGGTCAAGCCACAGAAATTATACAGCTAAGACTGAAGATAATCATTATGTACATGCCTCTAAAATAATAGGGTAGTAGTTAATGCATGCTCTGTAAGACTATTTTTAAAATACTTTCAAAGCTCTTAATGAGTGTGTAAGCCTTAAACTTTTATATTTTCTCTGTAATGACATGTGTTAACTAATACCAGAGATAAAGTACTGCAAAGGAACTCATAGGTATTTTTGGAATACGAAGCTCAAAGCCTGGGGCACGCACTCATTTGTGAACTCTGCTAGCAAAGCAATCATCTGGGGCAGTGGGAGATAGTCAGGTCTTACACTTCCACAGAAGTTTGATTCCCAGCACCTGTATCAGAGCCCACAGCTACAGATATTTTGTAATGCAGCAAAGAGCTCCCTAGAAGCTTTTAGAGCTTGTTACGTTGTCGCTGGTTGCTTAATAAAAAAACTCCAGGAGTTCTCCCTAACAAACAAAAGTAGCTGTGAAATTGTTATGGAGTTTTACATGGCATTTTGAGGATGTTTTCAGAAGCTTTTCCATCCGTATGAGAGATTGTTGGCTTTTCCAGTATTTTTGAAGTTGTCATTTGGCTTTAGAAGTGCACAATTTGTTGCATCTTAAAGTCACTTGGAATCCAGTTTTTGGCAGCTGTGGTGCACATGTGTTATAATTAGATTCAGTAAAAAATATTCCCAGGCTTAGGATTTCCTTAAGTAATCATGCAACTGAAATGCTCCCTAGACTCACATCATTTTAAGAATAATAGGAGAGATTAGTCCTCTCGTAAGAGCTGTGAACTGAGGTCACCTAGGTTAGATTTGGATACTATCTTCTGAAGGAAAAATGGGGGAAGCAAACTATGATAAACATCTTGCTCTAACAAGCTGTCTTTAGTGTACTTCTGTGCATGTCTCTTAGGAAAAAAGCCTCTTTGCTGACAGTCTGATGTGCATGTGCTCAGGGGAAGTGCAGGTTCTGAATACCAGAGGTGAAATCCTGGCCTGCCTCATGTGAGCAGTTTTGCTGCACATAGGAGAGCAGGGGACTGGATGGGATAGATGGGAAACAACGACCTGCTACTGTGTGCAGAGCTCCTCCTGTTGAAGGCTCATCAGTGTTCCCTCTCCTTTTCATGCTTTACAACTCAAAAGGTGCTACCTACTGTCATATTTCAATTTCTGTGCTATATATGACTCTATTTGGGTGGACCTCTGAAAATTTTTCCTTTGTTTAGGGTGACTGCATAGGAAATATTTTTCTTTTTCATTATTTTCTTCATAGGGCTTGACTGCAGCTTTCACACTGTGAGCATTCTTGGGGAAAAATATCACCTTTTTAGGTGCTGACTTGCAGCATAATCTAGGAGGAAAAAAATATATCATGTCAATTTCTGTAAATTTTTAACAGCACAATATCTCCATGCCTGGTGGGAAATCCTCAGCTTACACAGCTCATCTGAATGCATTGCACCCATATACCAAATACCAGTTCAGGGTGCGCTGTTCAGCTGCTGACCATTTCTGGAGGTGGAGTGACTGGAGCCGGGTAGAGGAGTACACAACATCAGAAGCCCGTAAGTTTATCTGACTCTTTGATGAGAGAATGTTGGACTTGTGAGGCCATATATTTTAAAATTAGTCGTCTAAAAACCTAACTTTTCAATAGATGGTAAATTGCCTACTGTGCAACTTGGGAAAATAAACTACCACTCTTACGTTTTTCTAAGCTCCTGCAAGAGGACCAGACATCTGGAGAGAGAGAAGTTCTTCTGGAGAAAGTCTAAAAATCTTCTGGAAGGTAGATAGGACACTTGAACTTTTAAATATTATGTATATTATTTAAAATATTATGTAATGTAACTGTATAAAAAAATATTTTCTTACACATTTATAAATTAGTGAACTGTATAGTCAGTAAACCAGACTGCTGTTCTTAGCTTTTTTTTTTTGGAACCATCCATTGAGACAAATATTTTTCCCCAAATGAAAGTATTATTGAAATTTTATAATTTAAACATTGCATTGAGAAGCATTTCACAGGAAGAATTAAACTTTTTATGCATCCCAGTTGAAAAGTAAAAACTTGGAAACTTATGTGCTAATTCTTACTTGCAAAACTTTTTTGGCTCATACTCTTATACAGACATCAGACTAGATCAGGAACATTAAATGCATATTTTCCTGTGTCTTCTTTTGTATATTGCATTTTAGTTTTAATGGTTTTTCTTTGTCTGTTCATAGCCCTTACCCCTTTCTGAAGCCAATGGGAGAATAGTGTCTCACGAAGTGTCCTGCTACCTGCTAGAGACACCACTGGAGCATAAAGTAGTCACTGAACCCACAAACAGCACAGAGATAAAACTTGGAAAAAATGACTGTGTAATTAGTGTTGTAGCCAAAAACCAAGCAGGCTCGTCTCCTCCTTCAAGGATAACAAGCATGGAACTTCCAAGTGGTGAGTGCTCCCAGCCATGAGTTAAACACCTTCAAAGCCAGAACGAGTTTGTTGATTGAAAAATAATGATTTGTTTGTTTGTGTTTATTTCCCCACCCAAATCTACTGGGTAGGGGAAAAAAATGCTTCTTTGCTTTCAGTGTAGTGTCTTGCCAATGAATCGTCATCATGGCTAGGCTTCGCGAACGAAGATTTAGGAAGGCTCTATCCACCAATGAATCGTACTCTCTACATAAAGGAAGGGTGATAGTGTGCACTCTTTGCAGCTATTTGCACTTTCTGGAGACCTCCCAGGAACAAAATGAATGAGGCTTCAGAGCATTGGTGTGGATATTTAGGGAGCTGAGTTTATTTCTGTGTGTTCTTTTTGAGACACTGAGAAGTGTTACACGCTAAAGAGAATCAGAATAAAGTTTTGGGGGTGTTGTGTGCCTTTTTGAGGCGAGAATTGTCAGTTCAATGCTTGTGAGCTCTGCAGGAGAATATTAATTGGGCTGGTTGGTAAAGTGTTGGCATCCTCGTGCTAGGCAGACAGTGTTTGAAAAGGAGGTAGGGCTTTAGCTTCCCAATTAAAGCACTGCTGCTCTTGCTGAGGGCTTTTGTAAAGGGAAATAGCTGAGCCAGATAATGATTTTCTGCTCATAACACTGAACCTGGGGAGAAGATAATATTGCACAAGGTTGTTGAGAGTCGGTGTTTCCCTGGCTGCCAGGAAGAGTATAATCTCCCAAAGCCCAAACCTCTAGTTCCAGATCTGGCTGATACTCTGCAGGGGGGACAGATTTACACAGCAAGGCCTCTCTCTGCTTGTTTGCCAGGAACATGCATGGATCTGCTTCTCCTTGCCCACCTCATCATCATGGCTAGGCTTCGCGAACGAAGATTTAGGAAGGCTCTATCCACGTTTGTTACAGGCATGCTGGTGGCTTATGAGGCCAATACGAGACAGACATATCTGATTGCAAAAGTTACAGCAGAAAGACTCCTTAGGTAGTGTATTCAGCAAGACGCGATTCTTTCTGCATTGTCTTTTCTCCTCAAGAGTGATCCTGCGTGCGTTCTCAAAGGAAACGGCAGCGTTGTAGATGGTGTGTCTCCAGGCCTCCCAATTGAAGGCCAGAGTAGACCAGTTATGATGATCAATGTGGCCAAGGCTGAGATGTTGTTTCAGGGAGTCCTTGTATCTTTTCTTCAGGGCTCCTCTCTTGCGGCAGCCAGTGGCAAGTTCACCATAAAGCAGGATCTTAGGGAGGCGGTGGTCCTTCATCCTTGAGACGTGCCCTGCCCATCGCAGCTGTGTTCTCAGTAACATGGCCTCAATGCTTGTGACTGCTACTTGTTCTAGAACAGACGTGTTGGTCACATAATCTGACCAGTGGATGTTTAGGATTGTGCAGAGACAGCGTGGATGGAAGCGTTCTAAGAGACGCAGGTGGTGGCGGTAGACGACCCATGCTTCGGAACCGTATAAGAGAGTAGACAACACTATGGCTTTGTAAACACTGATCTTGGTACTTTTCTTCAAGTGTTTATTACGCCATATTCTTTTATGGAGTTTTCCAAAAGCACTATATGCCTTTGCTAACCTGTTGTCAATCTCCCCATCAATCTTACCATCCGAGGAGATGAGGCTACCTAGGTAATTAAACTGCTGGACTGATTTGAGCTCTGATTGACCAATGGTGATGTGGGGATGATGGAAGGCTTCCTGAGGTGCAGGTTGATAGAGAACTTCCATCTTCTTTAAGCTGACTTCCAGCCCGAAGAGCTCAGCAGCATCTGCAAAGCAGGATGTTAAACACTGCAGAGCTGCTTCTGTGTGGGCAACAAGGGCAACGTCATCAGCATAAAGCAGCTCCCAGACAAGATGGTTTAAGGTCTTGGTGTGGGCCTTCAGTCGCCTTAGATTGAAAAGGCTTCCATCAGTACGGTATCGAATGTAGATACCATTCTGATCATCGAGGTCTGCCATGACCCTTTGGAGCATCATGCTGAAAAAGGTTGTGAAAAGGGTTGGAGCAAGAACGCAGCCTTGTTTCACACCATTCTTTATTAGAAAGGGCTCAGAAAGTGCACTACCATATCTGACTTGGCCATGTTGATCCTCATGGAGTGAGATGATCATTTTAAGGAACTTGGGGGGACAACCTAAACGTTCCAAAATCTGCCACAGACCTTTTCTGCTCACAGTATCGAAAGCCTTGGTGAGGTCAACAAAGGTTACATAGAGACCTTTGTTCTGTTCCCTACACTTCTCTTGCAGTTGTCTGAGGACAAATACCATGTCTGTGGTACTCCTGTTGGCTCTGAAACCGCACTAACTTTCAGGAAGAATTCCGTCTGCAATAGCGGGTGTTAGTCTGTTCAAGAGTATTCTTGCCAGGATTTTGTCAGCAATGGAGAGCAGAGTAATACCACGGTAATTTGAGCAATCAGATTTATTTCCTTTCTTTTTATACAAAGTGATAATGTCTGCATCTTGAAGGTCTGATGGTAGCTCGCCTATTTTCCAGCAACCCACCACAAACTCATGAAATTTAGCATGGAGTGCAAGGCCCCCATGTTTCCAGACTTCGGGTGGAATTCCAGCAACCCCAGCTGCCTTGCCAATTTTCACCTGCTGCATGGCCTTGAAGGTTTCTCCTAAAGTGGGGGCAATATCCAATTCGTATTTCACCAGTTGTTGTGTGATGGACTGAATTGCTGAGTCTTGGACTACACGGTTGGTACTGAAGAGAGTCTGAAAGTGTTCAGACCATCGATTCAGAATGGAGGTTTTATCTGTTAGAAGCATTTGACCATCAGCGCTGAGTAGAGGGCTTTGGACTTGGTATGTAGGCCCGTATGCTGTTTTCAGGGCCTCATGGAATCCTTTGCGATCTCCCGAATCTGCGCATAATTGAGTTTTTTCAGCTAGATCGATCCACCACTTGTTCTGGATGTCACGGAGTTTCTGTTGGAGCTTGCTGCATGCAAGACGAAAGGCTATTTTTCTTGTGTGACAGGATGGCAGTGCAAGGTGTGCTTGGTGGGCAGTTCTCTTTCAACAAATCTTGGATTTCTTGTTTTCATCAAACCAGTCCTTGTTCTTCTTGAGGGAGAACCCTAAGGATTCTTCAGAGGATTGCAGGATGCTGTTTTTAATATGGTGCCAAATTGTTTCAGGAGAGGAATCTGCAGAATCTGTGGAATGGTTTTCGAGCCTAGTTTGAAGGTTTGCCTGTCTCTAACTGTGGCTGATTGGAGATTGTTAACTTAGAGTCTTCTCCTTGGGATGCTGCCCCTTTTAGGTTTGAATTTGAGATTGAAATTGAGTTTACAGCGCACGAGCCGATGGTCTGTTTGGCATTCTGCACTGGGCATCACGCGGGTGTGGTGGATATTGCGGACATCTCTCCGTCGCACCAAGACATAGTCAATGAGGTGACAATGCTTAGATCGGGGGTGCATCCAGGTTGTCTTCAGACTATCTTTCTGCTGAAAGATAGTATTAGTGATGGTGAGCTGTTGCTCCACACAGAATTCTAGCAGAAGTCGACCATTATCGTTGCAGTTTCCAACACCATGCTTGCCTAACACTCCTTTCCAGGCTTCAAAATTCTTACCTACTCTGGCATTGAAATCACCAAGGATAATGATCTTATAATCTGCAGGCACCTTTTGGGTAAGGCGGTGCAGGTCAGTGTAGAATTTATCTTTTTCAGCAGGGTCAGCTTGGAGAGTTGGGGCATATATACTAAAGATGACAACATGTTGCTTGTTGTTTAGTGGAAGGCGTAGGGAGATAATGCAGTCAGAATGACCTGTCGGCAGATTTTCAAGTTTAGGAATAATAGAGTTTTTGATCATGAAGCCAACTCCTGAGAGATGTTTTTCTGTTCTGGGCTTACCTGACCAAAAGAGTGTGTAACCGGCACCATGTTCTCTGAGGCTGCCTTCTTCATGAAGGCGAACTTCACTGAGAGCGGCAATGTCGATGTTGAGACGAGCCAGTTCATGGGCAATTAGGGCAGACCGATGCTCAGGATGTCTGCTATCCACAGAATCGAGCATGGTTCTGATGTTCCAACATGCTGGAGTTAATTTAGGTACACCTTTGGAGGCAGGTGAATGCCTTCGTCTTTTGATCTTTGTGTGACTGTGTTGGAAGAAGATGCCCGTTGGCCTGCGGTTGACCAACCGGGTGAAGGTGGAGATGAGCTTTGTTTAGGCCACCTTTTCTAGGCCCCTCTTCGAGTGGAGCAAGCAGTGCTGTCTTTGAAAAGGCTGCTTGGTCGTTCAGGGTGCTGCCCCAAGAGATTGTCATCTCCAGTCAGTCTCAAATGACCGATATCCTGAACCACCTGCATGCAGGGTTGGGTCTGCGGCTTCCAGTGCACCTTTCACCTGTCGTTTCGACCCTCGCCCGTCGCTACAGGACTTTTTGCATGTGGGTAAAGCCTTCAAGCCTGCGCAATGGATTTTTTAGGTGAGATGCAGTATGTGCAGAACTGAACCCACCCTTTAATCCTAAGGTTCATCTGCCAGGGCCAAGCAAGCTTGGACGGTGGCAGCGAGGTCCTCAGGATGTAGGTTTGATTAGAGTGACCTTCTCTTAGATGGATGGCCTTACAGGGCTAAGCAAACTCCATCTGCCCGGGTTTGGGATTAGAGTTGTCCTTCCCCTAGGATGACTGCCAGAAGGCTAATGAGCTCATCCTGCCCACGGATGTACTGTATCTGACCCTGCGGTTTTGACCTGTCTGTCATGGGCGACCCTGCCGAAGGCATGTACCATCGCCAGCATAGCTCGCAACCACATAGGGGCACACAGGCTACATTCCTGTTAGAACGATTTGGGCAAGTCTTTCATTTCCTACTTTCCTATCACCTATCTATAAACAATCTGAAGGAGATACCCAGGAACAACCCTTTGTTCTGTCCACCATTCCAGGATGTAACAGAGCAAAGCAAATATATCCAGAACATACCGAACCTGGGCAATAGCCACAGGTGAACCAAAAACAAACAGACAAACAAACAAAGCAACTGTTCTGGCCCCAGTACCCATCCAAGGCAGGGGTGCCTTTCAAGGCCCCAGCCTAGCCAGGACCCCCATTATTCCAAAAGAACCCACTATCCACCTTGACCTTATCCTTCACCCACTGTGTTACCATATATCTTCAGGCGCACTGCTCACCTGTGACATTTCATACGGGATTGTCCCACTCTCCCTCCTGCCAGTTAGAGGACCCCCTCGGCCTGCTTGACACCCTACCCTAATCCTTCCCCCCACCCCCGTCCCCCCTTCCACCCCAAACCTGAAATGGCAAACCTCTGTGTGCTCCGAAGCTCCCCTCTCCTCTTTCATGGGGGTGCAGTACCCACCGGCAAGGCTCCCCTTCTCTCTTCTTTCTCCTGCCGCGGCCGTGCCCAGGGGCTGAACCGTGCGCACGGTGCGGGAAGGTCCCGGCAGCCCAGGGTCTCGCCCGCGTGGCACGGGAAGGTCCTGGCAGCCTGGGGTCCCGCCTGCGTGGCACGGGAAGGTCCCGGCAGCCCATTGCCCACCTAGAGAACAGGTATAACAGCTGCTGTCTTGCAACTGAGTTTCTGATAAAACAGGCCCATCTCTCACAGGAAGAAAAGGGGTTTGGGTGAGATTCAGAGTGAGATGAAGAAACAATTTTTTTTTCTATGTGAAGGAAAACTGTTGTACGTAATGTTTCTTGAGCTTCTCCGAGAAACAAATCACAGAATCACAGAATGGGTCAGGTTGGAAGGGACCACAATGGGTCAGCGGGTCCAACCTCCCTTCTCAGTCAGGGTCATCCCAGAGAACATGGCACAGGATTCTGTCCTGATGGTTCTTGAATATCACTGGTGAGGGAGGGAGACTCCACAGCCTCTCTGGGCAGCCTGTTCAAGTGCACGATCACCTGCACAATAAAGAAGGTCTTCATCATATTGAGGTGGAACTTCCTGTGCTCCAGTTTCTACCCATTGCCTCTTGTCCTATTGCTTGGCACCACTAGGCAAAGCCTGGCTCCATCCTATTGGCACCTTCTCTTCAGATATTGATAGACATTGATGAGGTCCCCTCTCAGTCTTCTATTCTTGAGTCTGAACAGGCCCAACTCCCTCAGTTTTTCCTTCATAAGAGAGATGCTACATTTCCTTAATCATCTTCGTTGCCCCCCGCTGTACCCGCTCCAGAACCTCCACATCTTTTTCTCCTGAGGAGCCCAGAACTGGACATGGCACCAACACCAGTACCTTAGAGTATGTTCTTAGTCTACTTGTTGGAGGGAAAAGTAATTGTATGGGACAGTTGATTGAAAGTGCTTGTAGAGCTCTCCTTGAGCAGGAAAAGAACAAAACCCTGGGAATCGGAGAGGTCTTGTAATAGGTTTGTGCTGTGGGATAGTTGATGGCAGCTAGAGGTTTGCATTCATTTATAGCTTTCACTCAAATATCTGAGGTCTCCTTTGGTGTTACCCAACTTGTACTCATTAAAGATTTGCTCCCAAGTTGGTATAGGAATTATCTGAGTCACTGACTGGAGTCATGAAAGATGACTCATTCACTGAACTGGATGACATTTTTGCCCAAACATCTTTTCTGTCTGCTTCCTGTGTACACTCTGTAAGTGCTTTTAATGTCCATAAGAGAGCAGTGGCTCTGAAGCTGGAGATCTGCTGAGGTTGTCTGAAAACTGAAAACACAAACAAAGGATATTCTGCCTTAATTAATTTGTCACTGTCTCTGCAAAGTGCTCTGAAGAGAGTCGGGGCATATAATCTGGTTGTTCCAGGCTCTCCTACCACAGTAGTACTCTAGTCTAGTAGTTGATTTCTCCTAGTCTACTTTGCAGCTATAAATGCATCAAAATGAACAGTACTGCCCATGGTGAATTTCTAGTCATCCAGCTCAGGAAATGAAATTGAGTGTCGTGTATTTGAGCATTTTTCAGAGCTTGTGGTCACAGTCAGTAAAACCTCTTTTCTGTAAATAGGAAAATTAAAGCCAGCTAATTAGAAATATTGTCTTTTCCAGCATCATAGAAGTGTAGTTTCCCTGGATACATAGTAGTTTTTTTGGAAAAAATATGGAACCACTTGTGGAGTTGACTTGGTTTTTTAATCATATGTCTTTTTCTTGCCATGGACAAGCTTAGCTGTATGTTAAGATTATTTAAAAATAGACATTCTTCAACATTCACAGCATGTCTGTGAGAGCAAAGTTTTCATAGCACTGATTCCTAAAAGCTGTCCTTGCCCCTCAGCCTTCCATAGTTTATAGCTTTAATAAAATGAAATAATAGACTCAATAGAGAGCGTAAATGAGAACACTGAAAAAGGAAAACTAAAACCCTGAGATTGTTTTTGCAGATCTGTCATGGGGCCACTGCTTTTGTGGTGGCCTTTGGAAACCATCCCTTAGCTCTGCAGGGTCCCGGCTGAGGGACAGCCATGGAAGGAAGCTGCAGGAATCAGAAGCTGTTCCCAGATCTGATCACTTCAAGGGAAGCTAAACCTTTGGTAATCAGAAACAAGAAAAATAGACAAAAGGCAAAGCTTGTTTGCTTTTGTTTTGTTTTGTCTGTTTGGTTGTTTAATTTACCCTTGGTAGACTGAAGCCTCCATAAAGATTGCCAGGGATGTGATTATTGTTGTTGATTCTTGGTGAAAAATGGTTGTCTGTGGTTGAGCGAGTGACAGGAAGACACTCTGAAAGAAACACAAAGCAAACCATTTGATGAAATGACAGCAGGAATTTATAGCTGGAGGCTCCTGCCAAATTGGTGTCAATTCATATTTGAATCCGACATCTGCTGTAAATCCTTACCTTGAAAAAGTGGTTTTTAAGCCAGTCCTGAGTTGCTGCATTTCTCGTCACCATACTTAAGGCTGGCTGAGGGATTTGCTGCAGGCTACATCTGATTTTGAGCACTCCAGAAAGCACAGCTGAGTGCAACACAGTTGCACAGTTGTTGGATTTCACAGTTCATGCACACCTCTCGTTCTTAGAAATGACTGCCGTTTATAAAGCCATTGTGCTGTGTCTGGAAGGCTTTCTTCATCTTGGCCTATAGACAAGTGTCTGCCCTCTGATTGATTTTTGCATCACCTTTGTTGCAGACAATATCATAACAGGACAGGCAATGGCAATGGGGAATGGAATTAATGTTTCTTGGGATTCTTACCCCAACATGACCTGTGGCTACGTAGTAAAATGGTGTCGTTCATCTGGGTCTGAACTCTGTAATGTGGACTGGCAGAAATTTCCTTCAAACACAACAAATGCAGTGATAAAATCTGGTAAGTCAAAAATAATTTCTTACTGGTCTTTCTGGAAAGCCTGAGGAGCGAGTGGAGTGAGAGCAGCACCAATGCTATAGGTTAAAGATTGTTTCATTGCTGCATACTTGTGTAAATAAATGAAATCCTTCTTGGTACTGTGTTTATTTTAATTTTTTACACAGTCTTGCCAAATCCAAATACCAGTCTTGAGTTAACTTTTATCATCCTGTGTTTATTAACTGTTTTGAAATTACCTCTTCTAGCTATACCCAACAATTTCCTAACTCAGCCTAATGCATAATGTTTAATCTAGGGTTTGGGGTTTTATTTGGATTCCAAACATAAACAGTGCTGCTCAGGATGGGGGAAGACTAATCCGTTGTTTTTACATGAGGCAGATTTTTTTAAGTGTGACCTCCATGTGTTGGCTTGCTGTCAACAATTGAAATTTCCTGGAACAGGGCACATTCCAGGTCTCTAGATGCTGGTGGGCAGATCAGGGAAATGAAACTCAGCTGTGGTGGGACTAGGAGGAGCAGAAGAGGAAAGAGAGGACCCATGAAAGATATAGGATTTTTTTCTCTGCTGTCTCAAACGGTGTATATTTGCTTTTTAGAAGAGTTTAGTATAAAAGTCTCCATTCAGGAAAACAACTTGGAGCTGTGTACATAGGAAAGTTGAGGGGGAGTGAGACCCAGGAGGGTGGGGGCAATATGCTTTTCTGTCTGTAATTACAACACTGTGTCCATGTTGTTTTGTTTCATGCTATCTAGAGCTTGCTTTTTTCAAGCAGACAATACCATGTCTGTGCAACGATGCACTGCCCTACTCCTGAGCTTTTCCCTGGAATGGTTCTTGCAGCACATTGTGGGAGTTATCAAGCTGCTAGGGCTGGGCTCAAGTGGGCAAATCCACCTCTGTGCTTAATCCAGTCAGGAGAATCTCTCAGACTGGACCTGGATGCTTTACCCACTTTACTTCTGTGTAGTTTCACACTGGCATCTTGTTTAGAAAAAATCTTAAAAGTAGTGTACAGCCCTGACTTGAAAAAAGCCCAGAAAGTGGTGAATTATTTACATCACATTATTTACATAATGTGTTGTAGCATCAAACACCTATATCTTCATCAAACACATGTGAAGCGTAATTTTTAAGACTGTTTGTTTTTTAAAGTCAGTTCAGGACTGAAGTTCATTGCTAGGGTGCTTCAGTATCACTTTTGAGCATTATTTCCATATGTTTCATACTGTTGCTCCAATAAGACTGGTTATTTCAAATTATATTTGTATTTCTGAGGAGGAGGCAGGATCTACATGGTTGCTGTGGGAGGAAAGGAAGGGGATTATTTCTGGTAACTTCAGTTTGTGTTTACCTATGGAAAGAGCAATTTATGCAATTTGAGTAGCTTGTTTTGAATCCTCTTTGTTTAGTACTAAATTTTCTCTGGGAGCCAGATTAGGTTACTGCTTCTAAACCACATCTGATGGCATGGCTTTTGTAGGAATTACAAGTAAAGATGGTATTTATGCCATTACACTTTGTAATTTTTTAATACATATTTATTTAATAGTCATGTGAAACTTAAAAGCATCATTCTTCAGAAGTGAAATATTCTTACAGCAATTTTCTCTTGCAGCTCTGTTTAAACCTGGCGTGAGATACAACTTTTCAGTGTATGGCTGCAAATCCACTGGATATCAGTTGTTGAAAAACATAACTGGCTATATGAAAGAGCTGCGTAAGTGCACTTTATCATTCAGGATCTCTACAGAGTGAATTTAGACTATTTTTAGCTCAGTGTTGGCAGAAGAAGATTAAGACCAGAATCACCATGCAGTACTACTGACTTGTGTTTGTTCTCTGTGTATAACTGTAATATATTTCTCCAGCCAGTTCCAAGCATGCAATAACCCCATGTTCTCCAGCTTGTGTGGTGGCACAGAGGTTCACTCTGAAGACAGTGGTCTTCACAATTGGAGGCACAGGCATAATTTGAAACACATGGCTGACATCACTTCTGCAGGAGAGGAGGCAACTTCTTTGATTCATCAAGTCAAAGTAAACTTTTGAGCACATTTGGTACAGCTCAGCAAATATAAAAAGTGTCCATAACATTTCTGTTTGAAAACGCTTCTTAGACCAAAACTAGAACTCAGAGCACAAGCCACTTTGGGTATTGTGCTTGTATTCTGTCTCATACCAATCCTGTCTGGGTAACTGGGGTTTGACCCAGGGCTGAACTTTGCTGGCCTGGAGATACATTAGTGTCTGAATGCTTTCTGTTCCCAGGTGTCTTGAACATGACTTTACCCTTTAAGACCACAGCTGTATTGTATTGTATTGTAACTACAACACCCATTTTGCTTTGAAGTTCAATGTGTGATCTGCTAGAATAGTTTGCCTGGAAAACTGAATTGCTGACATAATCTGAGCCCTTGGAAAGGCAGTTGTTTATTTCATTGCTAAGGTTGAAGGTGAGGTTAAGGCAATATTACCAGAAACTCAACTTTCAATCATTTGTGTATCTGTAAAAATTCTGAACAGTTTCCCAGAAGAGTTTTCCATATGTGTTCTGACCAGATCAGGAGTTTTCAAGGTATAAAGAGTTTGGGGGACTAAAAATGCATTGAACATGCGGAAGAAACTTATTAGGAACTGAGAATGTATTCACGTTGCACAAGAGCACAGATTCGTTGTTAAACTTCAGATTTGCTTTTGGACAGATAACCAAGAGAAAAATGGATGCATTCTTAAGCATGATTTTAGCATTGGTAGGTCAAAGCCAAATGTCAGGCTAAGTCCTGGTGCATGTGACCTTTCAGTAGGCTTCAGTTATTGGAATAAGGACTTGCAAAGACTGCTGAGAGTAGCTCTTTTAAGCTAAGATAGATTTCCATGATAGGAATGTGGAGTTTGTTTAATTTTAGGAAAAGCTATGAAGTTAGAGTTAAAGCCTTTAAAAGCTAAGCAATTTGTATCCTCTGAATGTTTATAGAATCTTTCAGGGCTTGTTGCAGGAAGAAGGGTATTTACATGTATGAGTCTGTAAGAAGGCTGACTGAAGAGAAATTTTTATTTCGGCATCTGTTAGTAGATAATACTGGAGTAAAAATAACAGTGAGACCAAGGTAGGTGTACTTCTGTAGCATTACCTACTAAGTCTTTTCACATGTTCTTAACAGTGAGGGAAAAAGTGTCGAGGAAAAGGTTGGAAATGCTAATCCTGAAATAAAACTGATTAAACACTTACATGGTTTCAGCGTTTAATGTTAAGGTGATTTCTTACTAGTTTCTTTTTTCATAATTCTCCCTACAGCTCCAAAAAGTGCACCAAATTTTACTGTCGAAGAAACTTCTTCAGATTCTATATTGGTAAGATGGGAAGATATTCCTATTGAAGAATGCCGAGGGTTTTTAAAAGGATATCTTCTTTCCTTTGCAAAAGGTGAAAAAGATGCTTTAAAGCCTAGACTTTCAGAATCAGGTAAATGGATTGTATAGATTACAACTTCCTTGCTTATTCTGTCTTCCTTTTTTTCTTTTTTTTCCTTTTTTTAAAAAAAATAAGTTCACTTTAATAAAAAAGATGCTTTAATAATAATTCACTTGCATTACTCATTGGCATAACTGGCCCCTGATATGTGACAAAGGCATTTAAAATAACCAGCTCCTTGTGTGGTTAGCACAGTTGTTTTTTAATATAAAGCAAAAGTTGGAGAAAACCCTGGCTCAGTCAGGCCATAAAGTTGTGCAGTGACTAAGCAGCAATGTGTCACACTGTCCTGTGCACAGATACCCTGAGTAGATGAGACAGGGGGAGGTTACATGGCTGTATTTAATAGGGTATATTCTTTCAGTGCCCATTTTGTACAGAACTGAAGCCTGACTCACACTGACGTAAGAGGGCAAGCAGGAGTGTAAGGAAATGAGGTCACTCTGCAGTGGCAACACCACACTCCTGTGCTGTTTGGTGCTGTATAAGCAACCAGCATTGATAGGATTCCTTATTTCAGTTTTCCTTTACAGAGACTGTTCTTCAGGTTTCATATGCTGGCTTCAAGAAAGTTTTGCTAAAGCTCAGGCTGTCTTTGTGAATCCTTTCTTACACAGTTATGCTTTTCTGACTGCTTCCAAAAAAACAGGGAATCCAGAACTTAAAGTTAACAACATCACTAACTTAACACAGAAGTCTATGAAAATACTTGATCTTCAAGGGAAAACAAGTTACCAGCTGGAGCTACAAGCCTACACTGCTGGTGGGTTGAGCCCTCCAAACAGCCTCTATGTGGTGACAAAGGAGGACTGTAAGTTGATTATCCCTGTTCATTAATAGTCTTAAGTACAGGAGCTGTACAATGTATATAAAGCTGAGCTTATTTTGTTGGATTTTTTCTGGTCTCCCTAGGTAGTTTGGGCCTATAGTCTGATTTTTCCTTTATTTAGTTGGTTATTTATAAATACAAAAATTGATACAGTTCAGGGTGAGGGAAAGATCCTTTCTTATTGCAGCTACTTTTTAGTTCATGGTAACGTATGCAAGAAAAATAACTTCTAAGATACTACTAAATATAGTGGAGTCTGAGCTTAGTCTTCTCAAGCAGCTAGTTGTTTTGTCAGGTTTCCCATGATGAATATCTGCTAATAGATGGTGGGAAGAAAGACACTGTGGAAATATTTATCATTTTCAGAATTGTAAACAGATGCCTCTCTGCTTTGAATTCAGTTTTATTGATCCCCTGACAGAAACAAACACAAAAAGGCAATTAGAAAAAAAAGAGATTGACTTTGGGGAATGAGAGAAAAAAAAAGTATTTCTAATAAAAGACACTGTGGTGCAACTGAAATACATGAAAAATCAAATTTGGGACACTTAATATCAATGGAGGAAGGCAGTGGGAATGTGTTGGAGCTAAAACCTGGGGATTAGAAGCCTTGTAAACCATATAAGAGACAGTGCAGTTAGTGCAATGAGTTGTTGGCCTATAAGAGCCATTACCAAAGGCTTGGCCAGCTCAGGTAGCATGAAAGTGCAATTCCAGTGCTTACTGAGAACAGAATCACAGTGGGATTGGTCTTGTGCAGCACATGAAGCCTTTTGCGATTAAGCAATCAGGTAGAAGGATCTGCTGATTCCTGTAGTTGTCACTGAATCAGCTGTTTATTGGGTGGACTTTTGCCCTTCCAACCCAGAGGAAGGGTAATGGTATAGGTCACACTTTGCAGGCCGCTGTTACATGAGTTTGATGAAATGGTCTTTAATCACCGTGGTTGTTGCAAAAGGCCTAAAACTTGCTGATAACTTTGGATATATATTTACTGTCCTTCCTTTTTTTATCCCCCAGCTGTAGGATTAATCATTGCAATTCTCATCCCCGTGGCAGTGGTGGTGCTGCTTGGAGTGGTGGCCAGCATATTCTGCTACCGAAAGAGGGAATGGTGAGTGCCTGCATTCAGTTCTCATCTTTTCCTGGAAGTGTTGGTTTCAGTGCTAGGGTATTCCACCATTGTAGTCATTCTTTGTTGTCTCTAAGTACCCAAAGATGTCAGTGGGCTTTGTTCAAAGTTGGATGGCAAAAACACCTTGTAGAAGGAGACACATTAGAGAGAGGTCAGAGTGAGGAATGCAAAAAGGTTTTTCAGGAGCCTGTCTCCCAGTGAGCACTGTTTATAAATGGTTCCCAGATGGAAATAAACTGGCAACATACTGTAATTTGTGCCATCCACAAACGCTCAGGTAAACATCCCATCTTTGACTTCTAGTAAATGTGACATATCAAGTTCCGTACTTAAAAAAAAAAAGAAAGTTGCTGTTTTTTCCATTATGCTCAGGGAAAGTTCAATGCACTAAATCTTTGCACCAGATGTCTTCAGTATTCTGAATTAAAGAGAAACGTCCTGACTCCTTTTGTGTAATTGCAATCTGTTTCAAGCCTTGCTAACTTATAGAAGTTTATTCTTTCATCTTTAAAGGATTAAAGAAACATTTTATCCAGAGATCCCGAATCCTGAGAACAGTAAGGCACTGCAGTTTCAGAGGAACATCTGCGAGGTAACTCTGATTTTAAATCTAGTATTTTAAACTTTTGAAAGATATTGCAAGTTAAAGAATTCTTTTGCAAACCTTGACTCATCTGTTCCAATTGCAGAAAAAACCCTGTGGCAGGGGGAAACAAGCCAGTTTACTGAGTAACTTCGGTCAGGCTGTTGTTAGTGTAGTTATTTGTAATGTTTGCAATAGGAAAGGACTGCTGCATTTCTCTTTTCCTGAACTAATGAGAAGTGTCAGTACGTGATAACGATGTGGGAGTAACACACTGGTCTTTGTGACAGTGTTAGCAGAAGTAGAAAGTATGGGGATGTGTATATGCCATATCCTAACCTCCTGGTAATTACAGTAGATGGAAGTGGGCATTTAAACAGCCTTCTGGAATGGGTTATACAAAGCTGAGATTTGGGGAAAGAGATCTCAAACACTTACTGCAAGATCTCAAGTCTCTTTAGTTTGTGTAAAATACTTTTAACATTAACAGGAATATGTGAAGAGCCAAAAAATCATAACCAGTTTTTGTGGTTATAGTGTATTAATGGCTGTGGGATGAGTACAATCCACAAGTGACATACTGGTGTAATTTGGGCGAGTTGTTGCTTTCATGTTTTCCAGATTTTTTAGCTAAGTCTTTCCCCCTTCTCCTTTTTCTCACTTCAGGGGAATAAGACACTTAAAACACTGGAAATGAACCCATGCACCCCCAATAGTGTTGAAGTGGTGGAAACACAGTCTGCAGCTCCCAAGATTGAAGACACGGAGATGATGTCCCCAGCAGCAGACACCACCGTGCCTGAAGATGGCTCTGACTCAGAAATGGAGAACCATGTTGTTGTGTCCTACTGCCCCCCTATCATTGAGGAGGAGATCTCAAATCCCCCTACTGATGAACCTGGGGGGTCATCTCAGGTGGTTTACATTGACATCCAATCCATGTATCAGCCTCAAATTAAATCAGAGGAGGAGCCAGAAATAGACGTAGTGACTACAGCAGGCTATAAGCCACAAATGCAGCTGTCCGTCAATGCTATGAATACAGAGAGTCGCTCACCTGTGGAGGAAGAATTGGATAAAACTGCAGGTTACAGACCTCAAGCAAACACAAATGCCTGGAACATGGACACTCCGGACTCTCCTGGATCAGTTGAAAGCAACAATGAAAATGCATCCTTTGGGAGCCCATGCTCCATTAATTCCCGACAGTTTCTTCTTCCCCCAAAGGATGATGAAGACTCTCCTAAACCCATTAACATAGGGTGGTCCTTCACACATTTTTTTCAGAACAAACCAAATGATTAACAGTGAGTCCTTGTTGCTCCTGAACCAGCCTTCTAAATAAGCTTTTATTCCCAATGTTGTAAAGAAAGCAAGAAGAAAAGTGCAAAAAGCATGAATTATTCTTGGAGACAGTCAGCAGAAGTTCTAGTGAGCTGAACGTTACCATGTTTGAGTTAGTGAAAGTGTTAATATTCCATTGTAATAGAGGCCGAAAGGCAAAAATTATAGCAATTTAATTATTACTCTAGTAAAATATATTGGATATACGGGGTACTGAGTTTAGAGCCCCTATAATCATAGTCAAAGAACTCTGCCTGCCTTCACATAGTGCTCCAAGATTAACATAGTCTCATGCAACTTATAACTTGGAAAGATTGCTTTGCTTTGTTGTAGTTGTTCTCAACCATGCAGACTCAAATGATGCAGCCCCAACAGGTTTCCTTACTGAAGGTTTCATTTATCACAAATGTCAGCCTAATACACGGAAACAATGTAGTTGGAAACCGTTGAGATCTTTTACCTAGTTATAAACTAAGAGCAAATGAGAGTCCTATTTTTTCCTTCTCTTATATGGAGAGTTATTGTCACTGTTTAACACTTCTGAAGCAATGGCCATTCAAACCTGTTGCTTTTTAACTAGACACTAGTTTCTGTACCTACTGTACAATGTTTATTCAATGTTTGACTCAGGGGTACAAACTTGGGGGGGAAAAAGTGTAACACTGATTGAAACCTCAATAAGAACTGCATAAAGTTTAAAATTTCCTTTTTTTTTTTTAACTTAGAATGCTCTATATTTTTTCTATCCTTTGGTTAAGGAGTTAATCTTTCCTAAGGTATTGCACTAATGCATTTTGTATTTAATAGCTTCTGCTCCAGACCTCCTGCTTCAAAGTGGTACAGTACTCCATTCACCATTAGTGTCCAGCAGTCTTTGCACTATGCGGTAATTTAAGCCATGAGGAAATCTCTGTCTGCTCACATTAGCTGTCCAAGCAGTTTGGCATGCGAAATTAGAGGTAGTAGTACTAGCTCTTTGAGAAGAAATTGCTCTTTGGATGGTCTTTACTGTATTAGCTTTGTAATTACCTGCTGCCTGGCTGATCTCAAGTGTCTACCCCACAGGACCTTCTATACAAATCCTACCTGGGACTACAAAGTAGGATTTCTCTAGTGGCAGGGAGAAACCCAAGGAGGTTTTAATGTGGCTATTTCTACCTCTCCTTTACCAGATATGCGATGCAAAGAAAGCTTAAATTATGTACATTTTTGCGCTTAAAGGAGTGTTCAGAACAATCATCTTTTAACATGCTTGTTTTCACTTATGCATCTCTAGACAGTTGTAACTGTAAACTGTAACTGTAAACTATTTCACTGTGTAAACTTCGGACTGTGGCATACATGGATTTCACTAGCGTACAGGAGAAACTTTCTAACTTACCTGTTTGTTACTGTAAAACACAGTGGTGAGGTGTCAGATGTTAAACAGCTTGATCAAAAAGGGTCTCCATAAAGCCCTAACCATTTTTTTTTTAGACCTCCATTTCGTTAGTTACTTTGTGGGTAATTGCAGCAATGGATGGTGCAGTTTCAGCTGTTGGCATGTCTCTGCCTTCTCTGTAGAATGAAAATACAAAGGTATTTCAAAACTGACAAAAACGCACAACACTAAATAGTATCCAAATCATCATCAGTAACAACTGCTCGTGTGTGCCTTCTGGAAGACTGAACTGTGAAGCAGTGAAAAATAGTTCAATCTGCAGATCTGGCAGGGGTGGCAAAGTGTCTCTGAAAAGACGTAAAGCACAGATAGGATTCGGCTTTTGAGGTTGAGTCTTGGAGTATTAAGGCTGCGAATGAAAAGACAGGCAGTGAAAAGAGTGATGTCCATTTGTCATCAGACATCAGCACAAGAGAAAGTTTCATGGCCTCTTATTCAGAACACTAAACTAATACATGAAAGGAAGCAGTTCTACCCATTGTGCTTAATAGTTGACAAGTAGCTAAATCCTGATAGTAACAAACCTTTTTCACAATACCTCTTTATTAGAGCATTTCTTTTCGCTAGTGTAGATTTGGCCTAATGTGTTTATCTCCTAAGAGGAATTTTAGCTTGTGCTGCCATATGCTTTTAATTGAAAGCAGAAGATGTCATGGACAGTGTATGAGTAGTGGTTTGCATTTTTTCATAGAGCAGTTTCTCAATGCAGAGGAGCAATCAGTATTGTATGGTGATCCAAATGAAAAAAACCCTCTGTAGCAGAACAGCTGATCATGAAGAATAACTGTGCTTTTCATATGCCTGTGTATTGCAAGAAACAAAATCAAACTGAAGTTTGAGAGTACTAGCAATTTTTAATTGAGCAGACTGGAAGTCAGGGCGACTGCAGAGGACACACTGAGCTCACAGGCAGCAGCCTAAGACCATTTGCAGTGCTCCCATGGTGAATCACTTACACACAAGCATCACATACTCAGGTTTCTCCATGTGCTGCTCTTCCTATTCAGTAAAGGCAACAACATTTTAAATTGGTCCATTTCTAAGTGACTAGGTAGGGGAAAACTCCACAAATACATGGTTTGCCTTGATGCTCTCTCATCTAATTATTAATCTCTTTTTTTTTTTTAAACTCTGACCATACCTTTTATTTGACTGATGTTCTTACTTCCAGGATGCGAGGCAGAAGAGTCCTGTTGACAGCAACAGCTTCAGTAAGAGAAGAGTAGGGCAAATGCAGGAGAGACACAGGCTTGTGCAGTGTCTGTAGCATCATTATTGCTTAATAGTTATGAACCAGCAAGCAGTTGTCATTCTAGCACTTGGAAGCTCAACTGCTTCACGTCTGTGGTTTCCTTTGAGCCTATTCAGTGCTGCCAATGTCTATCTTAGATTTTCAGCAGTGAATCCAAATGCTAGATGGGTAGTGAGAGGTTGAGTGCTAATGTTGTGTACCTCTAGGTGCATGGAGCAGTAAGGAAGAATGACAAGGACTGTCAGGGAATGGACTTGCTTTCTGAGCCCAAGTGCCATGTTAAACTAGTAAAACATCTTTAGGAATGTCTTTGTACCAAATTCACTTTCAAAGCATGGTGCTCTTTAGCCTCTAAATGCTTTGATAACAATTGTAAGCTTCAGAGGGGATCAGACTTCTTGTACTAGTGCCTTTGGGCTTCCTGGTGAGCCTCTTCAGACAATTTTTTTCTGAAAAATACCTTAGGAAGCTTGAAGTACTGCATTTCCTTACCATCACTTTCTGAAAGATCTTGTTCCTTTATAGATGATCTATTTTGTTTTAGTTCTTTTGGTTTTTTGTTTCTCTTTCTAGAAGAATAGAAAGTGCAGCTTTTAAAAAATTTTAAAAAGGAAAAAAAAAACAAAAATCACAAACAAACCAACCAACAAAAAAAAAAAAAAAAACACCACAAAAAGCCAACAGCAGACTTCCAGAAGGGATATGACCAGAAGGGATTATGTCCAAAACACTATTATGCCTAACTCCGTGCATCAATCCTCAAGTTGGATCAGTATTCAGAGATGTAGGGTATTAATGCCAAGTAGTTGCTTTCTGAAGAAAATCATCAGTTCTGCTGCTTTTTATTTTTGAGCCATGCCTGTCATATGTGACAATTTGGGGTTTGTAATGGGTTTTTTGTACTGTTCACTGTATGCATGGAACATCAGTCACATTTGATGTAATGTTGTGCACTCTCCTATTTGACACATTCATTATTTTTGTTGTTCTGACATGCAATGAGATCTGGGATCGCAGGTTTGTGTGTTAAATTTTGGGATGGTAGATCTGCATGTGATATACCTCACAGAATTACTAGTTAATATATCAACAAAATAGTAAGCTAATATTACAGGCAGGCAGTGAATTACCTCCCCTGCTATGCAGTGGCTGTATAGGCAGACTTCGAACCTGAAAACTGATGTTTGCTGTGGTAAGCTGTCTTTATTATCCCTAGCTGCTGCTTTCATGGGTAAACCATTTCCAAAGGGAACCAGTGGCCGTGTTGTCTGTCATGGCACAATTGGCAAATGCGCCGTGTTTCTTCGTCTTGGATTGATGTGGGGGACCAGAACTTTCCTTGGCTAAGAACACGGCAGCAGCACACTCCTGCTGACCTCAAGTTTTAGGCTGCTCTGAAAAGGCATATTCAGGCTGCCTTTTTGTTGTTGTTGTTGTTGTTGTTGTTGTTGTTGACAGGTTCAGCAGGGTAAAGCTTAGGGCTGTGGTGTTTCCTGTGATTGTGTCCTCCAGGACACTTAGTTGAACATGAATAGTAGCAAAAATGAAGGCAGTTGGATGCATTGGAGAGAGAATTTAGACATCACTCTGAAAAGGCAATGAGAAATTGTTTGCTCTGTTTTTAAATAAATACTGCTTTGCAAATAGAATACTTGTATCCCTACAAGTAGATAGAAATATAGTAAAAGAATTTTGAATACATAAGGAAAATGTAACATTCAGAGAATCAGGTTGCTGCCGAGGCTCTGTGTACCATGAATCTATGGAGAGCTTCCCATGTAAGTAGCATCTTCAGTTCCACCACAGACTTTGATGAAGATTTCAGTGCAAAAGACATTAATATTTTTAACACTATGTCCTAACCCCTTATGGACACGTGTGCCTGCATCGTTATGTACCTAGGTGCATATGGCAGAGGAATTTGGCTTGCAATTGCCAGAGTGGTTTTTTTTTGGAGCCCTCTGCATGAATATATGCCTTCTGAGATGCAGTTTCACCTAGAGGAAGCAGCTGCCATCTGCACTCCTCCCAACACACTGCACAGTGCTCGTGATGCTGTGCATTAAGTGGTGCCCTCTGTGGCTGATGCTCAGAGATACTGTTGGCCCTTCACAACATTTGTTTTTGGCTTTTTCATTCCGTTTTCCTTAGCAAGCCTGGAAACACAGTCCAAGAGCCCAAATGCTAGACAAGGATTCAGAAATGCTGGAGTGTTTAAAAACTAATTTCATTATGTTTAGAACTGTCTTAAATTATTAAATATCTCCTTAGAAGCTGGAAAAGTTTATTCCATAAAGATTTTCTTTCCCCTCCCCCATTTATATAACTTTGGATTTTCCCCAGTGTTTCTAAGATAGCCAGTGTTTGTTTCCTCTCTGCATGTTATGCAAACAGACCTCAGATGGTATTGGCAGGGTTTCTGTAACTTTACAAGTTGTCCCAGGGTGCATGACAATACTTTTCCCCTACAAAAATTCTATTAATTCCTTCTGCTTTTACAATAATAAAAATATCTCAGAGAACTTCTGCATTTTGGAGGGCAGGGATTCAGCGTCCCTGTGCAGGTGAGCTGTTCTGGCAGAGTGTTTCATGAGAGGACAGGAATAATCCCTCTCTCTTCTTGAGACAGCACTGCCCAGGTGACTTTTTGCAGCAGAACAGATGAAATCCTTATTTTTTAATGTGACATCTAACAAAATCTCTAGGTAGGTTTTTGGACAGTCCCAAATCTGCACTTTGACTGTTGCTACAGGAGTGGAGGTGTATGCACAACTTCCACAAGAAGCTTCAATACCTTTGCAACTCATTTGGTCTCATGTTGTGCAAAATGTAGCGAGTAAAACTTACCCAGGGACGAAGCAAAAAATTAAATGCTCTCATTTTCATTATTTGGATTAAGAAAAACTTAAAAAATAAATAGCTCAAGCAGGGCAAGGTAAAATAGAAACTGGCAAGGTCACACTCTTTAATAGTAATAAAAAAAAAAAAAGAATTCTTGAACATCACTT